AGGGTTAACGCGAAAGCGCAGAACGCTTACGAGTGTGATCGCGTGGTTAGGAATCCTCGCGAGAGACTTCAACGTTCAAGACCAAGAGATGGAGGAAACGTGCTAGTGGAGAGGGCTCCGACGATTATAGTCGTCCCTGGTTTCGAGTCGGACAGCTCAGTTCATTCGGTTGGTAGAGGCGAACGGTGGTGCATAAGCACGACAGCTGATTCTAGGGACAGTGTGTTGCGTTGTCCGATCTTTCTCTCCGCTGTCAGTCGCAGTTGACACGGTGGATCGGTTAGCTGCTTGACGATTTCCATTCCCGCTTTATGTGTCATGTTGTAACGGAGACAATCGCAACCCTACCGAAGCACTACTCACTTCGAAGACGAATGCAGCTTCGCGATCCGAGAACTTTCTCATCGATCATTAGAAAAGCTAAGACAAGGATTAAAGGCGCATCGTAACGATTCACTACGGCCTACCTACTTGGCTTTCTCTCCTCCTATTGTGATTACCGTACCATCACTATTCCCTTGTAAAACGCGACTGTTGTGCATGGTGGAGCGACCGAGGAAAGGGCGGAGAAGCAAAGGATGCACAGCGTCATCATCAGGGTATGATTTCGGACGCTGTTAGGATACCTAAATTTACCTTCGACCGATGGTGAGTTCAATCTATTTATAATTATCATAACGCTTGTTTAAACGCGATTCTAACGCGAATACTCTGCGCACCCCTCTTAGTCGGAGGCTTAACCACCCTCCTTTGTCTACTTCGTCGTGCAACTCGTATATAATCCTCCTTTCTTTCTTTCTTTCTTTCTTTCTTCGTCTTCTCGCTGTTTACTCGAGACGTTTTATCGACATCTATTTATCGAAGATAACGGAATGAAATTAAGGTGTCGCCAACTTTTTCGTATTCAAAAATTCATTAATTTTTTTTATACATATGTAAAATACGCGTGGCGTTGGATCATTTCTTTTTTTGAACACGTTACACCTAATTACCCGTCTCTTAATCGTAAATTCCGTCCATCTACAATTATCACGAAAACGCGAATT